AGTCTTGTTGCGCCTATGTATTGGTCTCGTGCCAGCCGCTGAAAACCCTCAAGGTTTCGCGTTTAGGCTTTCGTGCTTTCTCCGCCTCTGGGTCGGCGGACTGAGCCGGAGGCTCTTAAGTATGCCGAAGTCACCACACCAAGACCCGTAATTGAATCCCACCTCCTACACTACTGGCCCTTCCCTGACTACTGGGCCCTGTCGACGGAACCAAGCCCTGTCTTTCTTTGCGGTCTGTGTGCTGGTGCGGGGTTTCGAGTCTTTCTCCAGGCTTTGTGGAGTCTGCTAGGCCAGGACAACAAAGAATTTGCTGTATGGCACTAAAACGTCGCATTGCAAGAGTCTCAAAACACATAAAACCTGTGCCCAGCAATGCACTCAAACGCAACCTGGAATGTGTCTTTGTCCAAAGTTGCACGGGGCCCGTTTCGCCCCACCAATCTGGCGGAAATCATTAACTCATTGAGACTGATGCAGTCCCATGTTGCGGCCTAGGCGGGGCTGCCATAATTTTTTAGCAGAATCCCCAAAGGCGTGTTCACTTTGAATCTCCTGTGCAAATACAAGTAAAGTCTCCCATCGCCCGACAAAACACAAATCGGTCCCCAGCAGATCTGCTCTTCCTGTCAACTGGGCTTGAAAGCTATGTGAAGGTTTCCTTGAATAGTAGAGGCACCCAAGATAGACCCGAGTATATGATAATCCTCACTATGGGGACGCCTAGGGGCATCTGATTGTTGAACCCCCTCCTCCCATGTTTAGAAATCCATGGATGCTCCTCATCAGGCTTCCAAACTGTAACGTCCAGCATGGGGTTTAGATCTCTAGCAGCGGTTTGTAGACACATGCCTATTTCATGAGACTGGGGTCTCTCTGTCTTTCTTCCTATTTCTGAGGAGTAGGGTCTCTCAGTCTTTCCCCCTAAACTTACGTGGGCGGTACCAACAATTAAATGGAAGCTGGGATTATGCAGGGGGTATCCAGGGTTCACTAGACCTCAGGGTTTGCCAGCTGGCTGCTACTAGGGAAGGCATCAGCGAAAAACAAGGAAACTATTAAAAGGCTCAGCTTAGGGGATATGAAAGAAAAATAGAAGCTACTTTAGGGTTTAGGGTTCAGGGCCTAGACAAAAAGAGGTGAAGGAATGGAAGCAACAACATATTCTACTATAGAATCCAATCCTCCTTTACCTATTACCACCCTGAACTTGGAGTAGTTTCCCTTTTCTCTTTCATTCCTCCATTCCCTGCTAGCAACCAGTGTGTAGACCCGAAACCCTACACGCTTCCATTTGATGATCCATTTGCTGTTGCATTTGTCTGCTAACAACCCTAGGTCCTATATCCTGCGTTAGTTTATATTCGGTAGTTTCCATAAATAGGGAGACCCCAATCTAGACCCCAAAATACTACAGTCCTTATTATGGGGACTCCCAAAAAGGAGCCCCTAATTTTGGGAAACTCCCATTTTAAGCTCCCCTCCGCATCAAGAAAAGGTCAGAGCTCCCGGCCGGCGTTCAAAAGGGCCAGGCCTATGCCACGTCAGGGAAGGATGACCTGGTATGAGCTCAAAAGCTCCCAGGCTTTAGGGTTCAGGGTTTCAGGTTTCTGTTGTGGGGATAAAGCAATCAATGCAAGTGGGACGGCTGACAAGAGATTCCAAGAAAGCCAAGGTCTGTGCGGGTTTTCTTAAAATTGACTCATGGCATCCTTTGCCTACAGGTATGCCATGGCTATTAATGTCAGGGACCTGTATCCCTAAACCCTATCAAGCCCACAAAAATGTGGACAATTGAATGGCCAGACGGCAAAGATTACAGCGCAGAGCCCCCTGTCGTTCTTGGATCTCAACGCAACAGCCATGCTGCTCCTGAACTTCCCAGGTCCATTGAAAGATTTAATTTAGCTTACGCATTCTGCTTTGGGGCCGTCCTCAGCCCACTTCAGCTGCCAATGAAACTCCAGGCTGGGGTAATGCTTGCCAGAAAGGGATATCACGTTTGCGGTTCCATGTCCTGTTAAGGCCCCAAGAACAAAACACATCTACGCTAAACCATGGAAAATTGTAATATCATCTCTAGATTCCCAAAAGCTATCTGGACCTCGAATGCCCTACCTATGTTCGAATATCCACGAGGTCCAGGTAAACCTTAAATCAAGACGGCATATGTGAGGCAACGTATACACAGCAATTTTGCAAGGAATGTGGGACCATAATATGGGCAATTATCCCTCTAACTCCCTGTCTAGCCGAAGCTTCAACTTTATCATCTACCCACTTTACATTCCATTATTGGACAATATTCGTAATTATATTAGCCCTTGAACCCTGAATAATACAGTAAGAGCTTCCAATTTCTTTTTCACTCCCGCAACATACCCTGATTGCTATTCCCGCCCTTTTAACTCTCTTCCATAACCAGGCACGCAAAAAAGTTCAAACTTTTGTATAAGCCTCACATACACGACCTAAATAGCTTTCATGTTCTCCCTAATCTACTACAGTAGTTTCCATTTTCTTGTCCATTATCCCTATATAACCCCTATATAATCCCTATAATCCCCATATAACTCCTAGATAACCCTTATAATCCTAGAGTCTCAATATTCTCCCTCTGGAGAAGTTAAAGCCACAAACCTGCTGTCTCTGCATGTCTGTGGGGCAGACGACACGTGGTCGGCCCGCAGGCGAAGCTGGCGATGCCTGGTGTTGCCAAGGACTAGAATTTACTATAATATACTATAATATACTCTATTATACTATATTATACTATAATATACTATAATATGCTATAGTCTACTGTAATATACTACTATATACAACAATTTACAACTATACATTATACTATAATGGGTTTGGGGAGGTATATGAACTATAGCCTTACAAGTAGTATCCCCCTTAATAACCCCTATAGTAGTCCCCTATATGATCCCCTATATAACCTCCCGTTAAGGGGTTTAGATTATGACTCGTTTGTATGTTGAGGTGTTGAGTTGTTTGTGGGTCTTGGGTTCATGTATGTTTGGATCTTTCGGGGTTTCGGGGGTTTGGGGGGGTCTAAAGTCTAGAATTCAAGGTTTTAGGGGCTTTGGGGTTAGTGCATAGGGTGTGCGGGTCTATCGAAATAGTCGGCCCAGAAGGACTCTAGGGATATGTTGGGATCACAAGAGGAATAGGAGGATCCCTCTTGAGGGTAGCTTTGCGAACCCCCATTCTGATAAGACCTTGTTAACCCTAAACCTACAATACGAACCTATAATAGTCATATAGCAGTAGTTACCGAAACCGTCTTATTACATGTTGGCGCTAGGGCACAGGTTCTGAGAGTGTTGAGGCGGAAGATTCTACATTACGGTGTAGGATGGTACCCAACAAGGCCTGCTCAAAACTATGAATCGCCATGAAGCTTTAGTTGGTCGTGATGACAGGCATCTTTCAGAAAAGTCCCCATGATATGATAAGGATCCTATATAGTACATTTACATGGATCTATATCCCGCGCCCATTGAACAAAGGGAAAGGGCATCTGATCAGCGTCAGCGTAGGATGTAAAGCCAGTAGCACTTGCGGAAATGCTTTGGGATGGTTGCGGCATGCTGCGGCCATGAGTAAGAGAAGGCTTCTCTGGAGCGTCGAGTTCAGGAATGCCAGTCTGAGCTGCGGAGCTTTTGGTCTGAGACTCCCGAATGCAGATCCCGTTTCAGCAAGCTGTGTGGTTGCCATTTTATACGTCCCATGTGGCCATGTCTTGACACGGGGCTCTGCGCATACACGAAACGTGAGTATCCTCAGAATGGCCACTCGAAGTTGACACAGGCCAAACCGGATCATCTGAAGGACAAATTTATGGCAACTCCCCTTCTGTATTTATGATTATAGTCATTGCCATCCGGGAGCCCACGAGTGAAGGAAGGAACTCACGTTACCTGGGAACGAATCAAACTGCCTCGGCCACCGGATGATCTGCTCACTTTAGGCTTGGCTTGCATGGGAATGCTGCAGCTGATGCTACCCAATAAGACCCAGCAAAACATTGCACCACTTGTGATTCCAGAGGCCGTCTGATCAAAGGGAAAGTAGTCTGATGTTTTAAGGGGTCCAAGTACCCCATATTCATGTACTTGCCCAAGAACCTATACGGCCTATGTCATACACTCATTAGCATTATTAGTCCTTGGGCCCTTAGGGTCCCAGCCTAAACCCCTAAGCCCACTGTGCCTCCCGAAGTCGTCGAATGTCCGCCGTGGTGACAACAACTGATGTAGACCTTTGGGATTGGGGTGTACCGCCGTGCCGAACCCAAACTAAGTTACTACGGATCAGACACAAATTCACATGAAGACTGGAATCGCATCACGGGCGTTGATCTCTCGTCTAAAGCACGGAAACCGATGCAGGCAGAGCGAAATTCCTCCTCCACAGGAAACCAACTGCCACCGCTCATGACCTTCGAACCCGTCATCTTACTCACATTAGGCTCTGCCTTGCCTCAAACTTGATATGGCAACACTTCTGCCGCAAAGAAAAAGCATTGAAAGTCTGAAGCCACAAGAGGTGCCCACAACGTCTCACTGCTTTTGCATCAGTGACCTCGCAAACTGGGCCCCCGTTAAAAGAACCACAAGCAGAATCGGGCACCAGGCTTCTCACCGCGCCTGACCTTCAGGCGAAGGGCAGCAACTAGCTAGATTCACGACTCATGACAATGTCATCAATAACTGCAATAGCACGGCGAACACAAAGGCTTGTTTATCATTAGATTCAACAACCTTTGTTCCCGGAGAAGCTAAGGCGTTACCAACAGCGACATCAACAGCAACAGCAACAACAACAACAATCAAGAATGACGCTCTGCAATATGGCCCTGATGACAAGCCAGAGGCGCCATGCATCCATCTTTCAGGCACACAACCCCATCCCAAAATAGCTGCTGCGCTTCTTGTCTCATAGCTTCCCGCATCCTGCATTTGCTCCTGCCGAAATGAAAGATTTCCACAAAATAAAGGCCCTAGGTAACCCATCCCACCTCCAGCCAACTTTTTGCGATGACTGTCCAGATTTTGCAAAGCAATTCTATGCAACACTGATCATTGACCGTTCCTCAGAATAACCTCCTGGGACCCCTAATGACAAATATTCGGCCCAATACAGAAAGGTACCATATCGGAGGTATCCATTATTTCGGGGTTGGCATTTTTCAGATCTAGACCCTAAAGCCTTCAATCAATAACAGACTAATCTTATATACCCCCAACCCTAAATCCTATATCTTAATCCGGGCTAGCTTCGACCACGAAAGTCAGCCATGGCGCAGCCCCAGCTCCAAGCTCCAAACCCTGAGACTCCAAATGCTCAACCTCACCTTCCTGGGAAATTACCTCCTTAACAATACAGTATGAAAGTTTTGCAAGCTAGAAGTACCCTGATGCTTGTATAAATTTGGGAACTTTTTGGAGCTGTGGGGTCCTCTTCCCGGATTACGCAGGGAGAACTTTGGGGAGATACCCATGGTGCCTTCCCCATTCCTGCACCCTGCACACCCCAAACCTCAAACCCTAAACTCTGCACAATTTACAGGCCCGATGAAGCCTTCAGCTTCATGCGGGTACCCACGGGCAGCGAGCGCACTGCCAGCTGCACCTGCGCTCCAACGAGAAGTTGCTTTGCGGATTCCATGAATAGGGGCCTCCCATATGGACCCCATACTATAATGCGGGGTGTAGCCGCAGTAGGAGTGCTCTTTCACGTGTCCTCTCGTTTGTAACAGGTGGTTCGAGCTCTGTCAGCCATGCATTATAAGCTACCCCTGCCAGATGTCACAGCAAAGGGGACTTCGTGGAGTTGATGCATCAAGCACCCCCACGCCCTAAACATTGAACCCTCAAAACCCTACAAGGCACTAAACCCCCTAAACCTAAACCCTAAAAACCAAATCAACTGCTCATGGAGCCTAGGCAGTTACCTTCCCGTCTATGCGAGTGAACGCCCAACAATCACTTCAAGAAGTGCCTCGAAACCTGACTGCCTTCAAACCTCACATGGCGTTTCTCGGAACGAGTGACCCCTAGCAAGCCTAGGGATATCCGTATACATATATATATATATATGTGTATAACATAAGGAGAGTATGAGGTCCGTTTCGGGATACTATGAGACATATTTTGAGGAGCATCCACCTTGGGCTGCCGATCCTGTAGTTCATGCGGCATCCGAGATGCTGAATGCCGGAGTCTAGGGCCTATAGGGCCAACAGGGATTAAAGCAAATACGGGATTACCCTTGGGGATTCTGAGAGACTACAACCAGGCCTCCATGCCGTGTTACCCACCCTTAGCCTCAGATAGTAGTGTCCATTTGATTTTCCATTATCCCAATATAACCCCAATATAACCGCACTATTAGAGTAGTTTCTATGTTATTGTCCATTGTCCCAAAACAACCCCATATAACCCCAAGATTATAATAGTTTCCATTCTATTTTTCCATAATCCCAATATAACCCCACATAACCCTGTGAAAAATCCTTTTCCTCAAAGCTCTTAGTTGAAATTCCCAACTGCCACTCCTTGCTGGTCCCATTCCCCCGTTATATTCCCATATTCCTTACTCTAATCCAGATATATTCCCTATTTTCCTGCAGTAGTTTCCATTGTCTTTTCCATGGTTCCCTATATGTAGCACCCGAAAGACCTGCGTAGGACAAGGTGGGGCTCTGCGCCTCATCGAAGTGGCGCACCTTGCGGCTGTTCACTTCCACAATCTGATCGTCCACCTCGCCCGGGTATCATCGTCATCAATCTCATTCTGTGGGCCTTTTGAAGCTCTCACCCTGTGGCACTTTGACAAGCCCCACGTAGATCCATGTAGAGACTACAAGGGCTTCGCTTGAGAATTATTTAGAGAAACTTGGCCTTACTTGGGTAGCATACCGCAATGCTTCTGTCAGTGCCATTCACAGAGCATCTCTCAGGAAGGTGTGATGTCACCATTGTTTGCAGGAAGGGCGCAGGAGCTACTTCTATCAACTTCCTCCTCAACATCGCCAACATCTCAATCACGCCCTTTTAATCTCAACGTCAGCCACTTGCCATACGGGCCGCACAAGGCGACTTGTTCTTTCGCAGTGACAAGTGCCAGCGTCGGCATCACAACTTAAGCCACAGTGCCATTGCTGCTGGTACTACTACCACTGCGAGCTTGCATGTGGCTTTCGACTTTCAGGTCTTCAAGGCTTGTAGGTGAATTGCGGGCTGCTCCAAGTAACCTACTCCTACTACACTTCTTCATTTCAAAAGGTGCACCAATCTGCCCATCCCATTGCTCAGGCCTTCAGACCGGCTTCTGCAGCAGGGCTTCCGTCCAGGACAACGTCCACCACGGCATGCTGGCCCAAGCGGGGGCTTATGTGGAACTTGCATGTAAGGATCACGGAGGGTTCAGGGATTTGAGCTCGGGACATAGGGGGATCTCTCAGAAATGCTGTGTTTGTTCTTGGCGGTTTCTAGCGCAGAAATCCTGAATCCTGAATCACCAGCTTTCACCGGTGCCTTAAATCTAAAACTTAAACCCTGTGCTGCAAGGAGTCATTAACTACCAAACTTCCGGATACCCGAACCGAGACTTCAACCCCCTGGGCATGCCAACCAATGCGAAGCACTTGCAACGCCCTCCCTCAAATGCCTGATGGAAGTCCCTACAACAAGAATTGTAGAACCCTTTTCGTGGGGCAGTCTAAGCGGGGTCCTCGTATTCTGGAAGTACCCCCATGCTTCCATGTTGCTTTACATCAGATGGGCTACGGTATTTAATTTCATGCAAGCAACTTGTCAGTGCAAATTTGAAGAGAGATCTCAAAAAAGCTATTTGTCTGCACAGACAGGTGACTGTCACAGGATAGTCAGTACAATACTTTTGCAGGCACAGCATGACTGGCAGCAAAAGGACCCATAACTGCAAGAATGCCAGAAGCCAGATCCAGTGATAATCATTTCAGCAGCGCAAACAAAAGCAGCGCTACATATACCACCCAACACTTTACGTGAACGAGCCCCATGCAATCCCCATGTAAACCCTAGACCCTGAACTACAGCAGCACTTACACTAAGAAGGACCCTCCATCCGAGAGCCTCCCTGCCAGACTCCTCCCGCATGGCCCTCGGATGGCGAACGCATTGGAAATGACTGGGTTCATTTTATGATAAACAGAGTTCAATTCGGCGCAGGTTTCTTGTCTCAAAGTCAGGACTCAGGGTTTAGTTCAAAGGTCCGCGGTTGGGGTGCTTTTACTTGTGATGGCGCACTTAGACGGATAATCTTTCAATTTGGGAGAAGCCCTTACAGCAGAGAGTGAATAAGGTCAAGGTGCATCTTCACGCCGATGTACGACCGAGGGACCTGCCCAGCTGCTGGGGTCGCGGTCATGGCAGCAGCAGTAGCAGCACGAGCACACAAGGACAGGAGGAGGAGGAGTGACAGTAGTCACCATATTAGTAGCTCTGCTTCAAGTAGTAGTACTACTGACCAACCGCTATAGCTTGCGCAATACGCACAAGTACGTGGCAAGCATGCAAGAATCATACAAGTCAGGTGGAAACAGCTACTGCGAACGCAAGAACAATGTAAACCAAATTAACTGGAGGTGGACCAGGAGTTCAGAGAGGAACTTACTAATAGCTGCACCAGCAGAATATGCATTTTCAGTGCTCAGGGTACTGTTTACAGCGTAAAGCCTTACACCCCGCCTGCGGTAGGTCATACCACCGGGTGCCCTTAACCAACAGGTCCAAGTACTCAATGTTCATATGCTACTTCTACTATATAAGTATACAAGGAATCTAGGATTGCGGTATTGGCACTCTGTAGGCTCTTGAAGTACTTGGGCCGTTCTGAGAAACCTCCATTCCTCAACCACACCTTCTATCTACGAGTCACAAGCAAGAGGCTACTGAAACGACAAACTTAGCGCTCCCACATCGTAGATCAGAAGCCCAAACCCTAAACCCTATGTACCCATATTATGGTAACCTAATTTGAGTTCGTGGACATACTCCCTTGTAGGGACCCTATCATCTGCTCACGGCTTCTAAGGCTATCCCTGTTGAGCTAGAGGATCAACAGGCCTGGTCTGACTTGGGGTTTAGCTCTTAGGGCGCAGGTTTACGAGTTAGAGGCACCAACGCCTTACAACATCATGTGAGTCGGCGGCATACTCGGAATCCCTAAACCCCCCGCAACCCATTCAACCCTCAGATCCAACCCACGACTACAGATCCCGGCAAAAACCTGCTTGCACGAAGCAACTGCCAAACCCGTGGCCTTTTTGCCGCTCAGGAGGCTAGGGAGAGCTGTCCTTCACCAGAGCTTGTCTAGGGTGCTCTGGATTTTCAGATGTATAAAAAGCCTCTTGCAAGCCATTGAAAACAGTAATGCAGGGCTTCAGGGCTAGGGACCGGAACTATTTTGGACTTCAACTTGTCGAAGGGTTGACTTTCACCAAACAGGCTCTGCCTTTCCAACAAAACCAGAGAACATCCTTGTAAGAAATGACGCTCGAACAGGGCGCCTGATTGAATCCACCGGGATAGCGAACCCAATGCCCTCACCTGAGCTTCTTCAAAGCTGTGGCATGGAGGCATCCCAAGACACTTCGGATCTTTCATGAGGCAAGCTGTTGTGACAACATCAGTAGGGGGGCCATTTGCCGTACAAGTAGGGTCCTGGATACAAAAAAAGCGCCAGCCAGGGCAAGGCAAAGCATAAGCCTATGTCAACAGAAGGCAGTGGCTTGCTAAATCAGAATGGGTTTGGGGGGTATATAATCCTAAAACCTTATGATGGTCGTACGCGGGTATTGACAATGGTGCAGACTTCTGCATTCAACGTCCTATAAACCCTAGATAACCCCAGCTTCCATTGCATTTCCCACGTTATCTTCCCTGGGATTCTGCATGTTTTGTAATTCTTCTGTTGTGTACAGTGGACAGGGCAAGGGGCCGAAGAGCGCTCGCATGGAGATCATGCCTATCACCTGTCCCAGGGGCCCGGTCTGGACAAGGTGAGAGGGATATAGGAGTTAAATATATATATATATATTGGGTTCTATAGGGTTATACAAGGATAATGGAAAAGAAAATGGAAACTACTATAGTATATTGGGGTTATATTGGGATAATGGAAAAATGGAAACTACTAGGGATAGGGGAGTTTCTCAAAATAGGGACTCTAGGGAACATACCTACATGCATCAGGGCTGCAAGGTGATGATGCGGTTCTGTGTTAAGGATTCTCTCAAGGTGGTCTTAGGCTCAGACGTGCGGGTTCTTGGCAACTCCTTTGACTTTGTAAATCTACTTAGCAACAGGGGTTATTTAGGAGGCTTGACATAGAGGCGTAGAAAGTGGCTTACCAAGTCAGAAGGCCTCCAAGTTGGGATTGATTTAAAGTACGGGCGGTTAGGCTAGGTAGGTATGTTGCAAAGCAAAAATGACATCTATCAGTTACAACAGGATGAAGGGTATGATGGTGTTTTCCACCTAGGTTTCCAGTGCAAAGGTTCCTCCAGATCCACTGCTTGACTCCGACGCCATGAAACAGAGCAGGGGTACTAATCATGGCGGAATCCTGTGGAATACTGCACCGCTTCAAGCCCCTGTAGTCCCAGACATTACAATGCTGTAGGTACCCAAAGTAAGTCCGGGCAAGAGACTCCTTTTTCTTTCTTGTGATACCCTAGCATTCTCTGCCACAAAGCTCAGACGGTCAGGCTCCGAACGTCTCTCCCCCTCTCTGACGCCACCTCTTTCTAATAACCAAAGCCCCCTATATCTTTGCATTAACATGACCACACAGGGGTACCCCTAAACCTGAACCGCACTTGCGTCTACATTCCTTAAAGTGCGGACCGCCCTAGCTGACCTCGCCGATCTCGTTCAGCATAGGTCCGCCACTGTTCCTGGCTTCTTGCAAGTGGGATCTGGGAGTCAGGACTTAAGGGCTGCAGGTATGGTCTATTGCCATGACGAGGAGTTGTGAGGGGATAAGGTTACTGATATGATTATAGCTGTGAAATGGAGGATTTGGAGCCTAGAAGTGAAAGTTTAGGGCCGTCCTGAACCCCCACGATGGAGAACAGGATCTCACGGGTACAGGGCAACATGCAACCTAGAAGAGATAGAGCTACATGGGCCATAATGTGCCATAATCTAAACTCCAAATTTTGGGACTATGTAGGGGACTACAGACTGTGCTCGCATGAGCTACGGTCAACGTTCCATGCTTGGCTAATGGACATGGGCGCGTGACTACTTCAATGCCTCTTACTAGCATGGTTCGCCAAAACAAGATTGTCGTTGTATTGTCGCATATCGTTTTGAACTTGCGTGGCTTTTCAGCGTCAGCCGCTAAAGTCGCGTCCGGCCAAAACATTATCTATTGTTTGGTAATTTAGACGGTCGCTCCCACAAAGAAAACCATCCTGAAAATCTCTTCAGTCTCCAGACCATCCCGGATCAGGGGGCAAGGCCCAATGCGCTCCAAGCGATTTATAAAGTCTACAGTCCAAGCCCTTTAAAAACTCAAACCCTTTGCGGCCTGAACCTCAGACTGAAAAAGCCTAAACTCTTCAAAAGCCTAAGCCCCATGGAAACACCCTAAACTCTTAAAACCCTAAACCCTAAACCCTTAAACCACTGAAACCGATCTGGGGACCCTTGGTTGACGGCAGCATCCGTCTGAATCAGGGGGTGTCTCATCCAGTCGAAGCCTTTCATGCTAAGGGTCTAGGGTTTAGGTTTTTTTTGGGTTCAGTGTTGTTAGGGTTTAGAGTTTTTAAAGTGTTTAGTGTTTTGGTGTTTTTGGGGTTTAGAGTTTAGGGCTGGACGGTGGCTTTGGCAGCCTAGGACCTACTGTAAGACATCATTTGAATATAATACGTTCTTGTATACATGAGACAGCGCTGTTATAGAAAAATTCAAAGCTGAGAATACTGGTGCCGATTTTTGGCTTCTACAATACACTTTCTAAGATCCAAAAGACTCGGTCTGCCTCACATGTCCATCCTCGGCGGGGTCTCCATCTGCTTTACAACAAGAAGTTGAGAATGATGGCATTCAATTGCAATGATAATCAGAAAACCACATTAGCATCTATATGACTAGTCACACGCGTAGCAATAGAAAAAATGTGCCCCCCAAGCACGGGACCTGTCATCCTGAGACGAGCCAGTCTCTGAAGCCTGATACCCTTTGCTGTCCCGAAGCCCTTTACGTTTCCTTGTTCTTAGTAGCAGCTGGGATGATCTGAAAACCCCAACTGCACTCTACTTCGTCAATCCTATCCCAGCTAAGGGCAGCACCAGTCTCGCCGGTGGAGCGATCAAGTGATGACACGATGCCCAGGGTGCACCTAGGAGCGCTTAAGGGATTAGGGTTTGAGGGTTTAAGTGCTGTGTTTGTTGCAATCCATCGCGCTTGGGGCTTCTTGTGCCGCTGCGGACCTCTTTTGGATGAGAGCGATGAAAGTGCTCTGTTTGTACTAGGTTGGGATCAAACTTTCACACATGCCTGTACTGGTTCCAGCATCCACCCCTTCCCTAGCGAGACCAACCTTGAGAAGTATGCTACACTCAATCTCAGATTTGAAGATAACCCCTCACCCATGGGTCTTTACTGAGAACACACTCCCATCACCAAACAAAAGGTGCGGTCAGAACAGAGCGAGATTCCTGCTGAACAGCCCCATACTTGTGCCGGCCGAAATCGTGCTACAGCATGTGCAACAAGACATGGGAACACTGATAATAGTAATCAGAAGAACAATCATAATCATAATAACATTAACGCTATTAATAATAGCGAGAATAGTAACATACCAAAATCATAATGGCAGTTATAACAGTACTAGTAACAATACCAATAGTGTGCTGATCATGACCGGCCTCCTGGTGGCCCTTTGGGCTACCTCGGCGCACACGGGCCCCATTTTTCTGGGGTACGAACAGGTCATGGGCGGGGTCTCGGCTACTTTTCATGCCGCGTGGGGTTTTTTCATCGGTGCACATGTCCTGTTCCACGTGGTGCCCGCAGCCTGTCGCAGTTCGCTAGCCAAGATGGGAATCCTGCCGCTGCACAGGGTGGAAAACGCAAGGCCAGAGCTTTGACGGACTTCGCGTCCACCACCTCACGTGCCACCAAAAAATGTGCGGCAACTTCGAAGGCAGCCTCGGCACGCAGGCAACCTGCAGCAAAATCACAGGCTGTGGAGACTAGGGGCGACATCACTGAAGATGAAGGCAGAGATCACACAGGTCTTGATCGATGGCTGAGGACTCATACAGATGGCGCTGGGAACACTTCTCACCCTGCCGCTGTTTTACGCCTTCGTGATTTGGGTCGGGATGGCAAACCACCACCATGCCAATGGCCTTGCAACATCTGTCATCGCATTACTGTGGGACAGAATGCACGCCACCTGACCTGGAGCCGACGAAACCACTTCGTTTGCTGTCACCCGGATCTACC